GACAACAGTTTTTCTAACTTTTTACCCACCCAACTCTTCACATCATGCCGACTCTCATCCACATTGTGGTTAATGGATCTAGACAAGGTGCTGAGGAGATGTCAGCAGGATTTGTCAGTCGCTAACACCCTCCCACCAGGACAAAGCTCTCTGAAGAACATCCAGCAGAGCTTTTTTAGTACATCAGTCCCACAAACATACTGAGCAGGTACATCATTGTGCCTTCACAAATCATTAGAAATTATCTGTTTGAAATTCTGTACTCCTCTACTGTACAAGCCTGCTGGTTTCCCGTCCTCTTCTCAGAGCTTAATGTATAATAAGCCAAGCACGCCTTCGCTATTTTCCTTGTCCTGCAATTAAGAGGTCCGTTTTTAAGCAGATTTTTTATGATTCACCGTGAAATCATGAGCGAGAGTGGGTGGACGGGGGATATAATCTTAATAAAACGGTAGGCCAATTAGTCGACCACAGCAGAATTGTGGTCTATGGGTTTTTATCTTCCATGTTAAAGACTTTCACCTTTTCACTGTGTCACAGTGGCTATTTCTATAGGTGTCCTTTACGCCATTTAGAAGAGTCAAGAGTAATGCCGGGAAACAGGAGGTCAGCACTTGTGTCAAGATATCTGTAGGAATAGCCTCATTTACTGCAGGAACATGACTGTGTTCAGCACTAAAGCCAATTAAAACCATGTTCTGCATAAGCAAAAAAAATGACCTTGCATGGACATTCTGCCCCTTCAAGAGTGTGGATCCTTTCTTTTTTTTTTTTTTTTGGTTTTATTTCTTTTTTCATGTGGATTAATCCTGGTCACAGACAGTTTCTTGAAATGTATCATGTTGTGGGATCAATGGCATGACCCCAAATTTTTGAATCAATTAAAAAAATATCATTCAAACTTATTTCTTCTCAAGTTTTGAATCAGACTTGAATCAATCTATGACTTTTCTATGAAAGGCTGTTTTTAATATAATTTCTGAATTCTGAAGTTAACTGAGACGTTAAAATTGATGTCTTGATGTTATGATGAAGAAAACATATTCGAACCAATTTCATCTCTTGAAATTAAAGTTTTTTCACTTAATTTTGTAGTACTATAAAATAAAATAAAAGATTTTTAGAAGATTTTGTCTGCCAAATTAAAGTTCGGTGGGGAACTTTCAGGAAAATGCAGATTAAAAAATAACAAAAAATAGTAAATGATACATTTGAAGACCCTCGTGAATATAAAATATCATACTGTATAATTTGAACGCAAAGTTATTTCAGGTGAGGTGTGTGACTCTCTAAAAACGTAATGATATTTATGAATTAATTCATAGTATTTGTTTAAAAAAATGTATTGAAATGTATTTTTGAAAATCTGGACTAAGGGGCTTGTTTACACAACACCGGTTTCAAATAAAAACGGAAAAACTTTGTATTCGTCCGTTCATGTACACGACAATGGCGTTTGGGGGCCTGAAAACACAAACTTTTGAAAACGATACAGTTATCGTCTCCGTGTAAACTACAGAAACGCGACTGTGAAAACGGTGACGGCATGCACATGTGTATTACGTGTTCAGTCTATAGGCATGTGTGTGTGGCGAGAGTGCTCTACACGAATGTGTTTGTGCGTAGTCTTTCTTTACAAAGTAACATCTCCACCTACTGGCCTGGCATGTATAATACAGCGTGTTTAGTAGTTTTGTAGTCTTGACAACATCGTCATCTACACAAAGAAAAAACATTTCCATTGTGTGTACATCATTGTCATGTAAATGTACGCTAAGATGTGTACACACACACACACACTCAGTATTTCACTCGCATTCATTGGCCGTCCCAGGATTATCGTTCTAATGTTTTTCTCCTCCACTTTATGTATTCATCATTGCTGGGCTTTGACTGTTTTTGCTGTTTCTGTTGTGCGTGGCTGCGCATATGTTTCTGTGAATATATTGGTGTACACACATGTATAAACGTCTTCTCACCTCCACAACTGTGAAATTCAAGTTCACGCTTATTGCACACACACATACTTTCATTTGTACTCGGGTACGTGTCTGCACGCCAATGACAGAAGTTTTCTTACACCTGCGATGCTGAAAACGGGCTTTAAATGTCTCGTCTCGAGTGAGAACACCGCTCATCCTCAAGCTGGGCTTTGTAAATATTTGACTCTCAGCCTTAAATCATCTGAATGTTTGGTTTGGTTTGTCTTGTGTACGTGTTAATGATCTAACGATGAAAGTTTAGCACAGCAGATTGTTCATTACTGGACTGCTCAAGTCTGTCGGATGGATTAGTCCAAGTTAAATCTGAGTCTCACGGGTCAGGGCTGTAACTCTGTTCAGATTCATGCTGTTCATTTACAGGCATTTCAAGAGGCCTTTAACCATACGCTCTGATGCTAGTGCACTAAATTGACATGACAACGCTTCTCTAATGAACTCTACTAATTATCCAAGATGATATACACTTATTAACTCAGGTAAAACTGGGAGTATTGTAGTCTGGGAGTAGCTTAAGCCTTGTCTGTGAAACCAGGGTTTGATCTTTAACCATTAGGCTTCAAGCACCCCATGTCTAATGAAAGTTTGTTATAAATTCATGAACCTAAAAATAAGGGTTTCATCATATCATACGGCTAGAAAAACACGCAATATGCATGCTGGTTTAGAGTGGAATCTCTTCAGAATAGAAATGTAAATGTATTCGGTGGTGTTAAATTCTGAAACACACACACACACACGTACGCACACACACGTTCACTTGGCTATCTAAATGGGGACTCTCCATAGACGTAATGGTTTTTATTCTGTACAAACTGTATATTCTCTTCCCTTACACTACCCATCACACACAACTTTCTGCATTTTTACCTTTAAATAGTTTATTTTTATACCGGATTTACAAAGGAGGACATCCCTGAAGGGAGGTTTTTGGAGATTTTGTCACTTCTGGGTACAAATTTGTCCCCACAATATAGTTAAGTACTGTAGGTACACACACACACACTTTTTCTGTCCACACTCTTTTCCTCCACACTCCACACACCTTTACTTGTTTTGAAGGTAAAATCCAGACGTGGCCCATGTTTACGATAAAACCAATCCTGAAGTGTTCATTAATCGTTATCATGTGCTAAAGCTAAAATCGGAGTCAGTGTGTGCTCGGCCGAACGATGCAAAACACACAAACCCTCATTTATTTCTGTTAGAGCATTTTGTTGTCTGGGACACTGAAACTAAACATCAGTTTTATTTTTGCTGGGAGAACGCCTGGGTTATTTTTCGTGTAGGAGTAATTACATTTGATTGCTTCTAAGCTGCTAAAGTTGCGTAATGACTTCTAGTTGAAATAAATACACTTGGAACGAAACGTAGCGGAACTCCAGAAGTTCATGTTTGGATGGAAATCCCTCATTTTAATTGTGAACATGTGCACTGTTGTTGTGCTCCAGCTCTGACTGATTTGTATATGTTTCAGAGCTTGTTGACTTACAGTAAGTGACTCTTTTTTCTACCTGTGTTTCGTTTAGTAAACTCTCTGTTCAAACAAAATGTAATTGTTGCATTTTGCGGTACAGTTCTAAAAATGTTGTTGCACGGTGCATAAATGTTTATCTACGTTATATGTGAGTATACACCCTACAGTTATAGACGGATTTAGCAGTGGTGGGCCGTCAGGGTCAGCAAGGCCTTCTCTGCGGGCCTAAACACTATCAGAATCACTGACTATATTTTTTTCATTAATGTGTATTAAATGATTCACAATAGTTCACAACATTTCTCTTAATTCCATAGCTTTTCTCTTGGTTGCGCTGCTTTCAGTAGTGGATGTTTATGTTAGAGCTTTTATCCAATCATATTTCAGCCATCATGTGTTGCCAGGGTCAAATAAAGATCTGCCTTGAGGCCTCCAGAATCAATAGTGCGCGCGCCGCGTCTGAAGAACGACAGACTTTTTCTGAACTTTTTAATCGGAACGCAAAACAACATGAACGAACCAGCTCGTTTCTCTCTACCCGGCCTTTTCCCAACTCACCGCATTAACCCTAAGGGCCCTATCTTGCACTCGGCGCAAATGACTTTGTACACTGACGCATGTATCATTCCTGTTTTGCACCCGCGCAAAGCAGGCTTTTCCCTCCACAGACGCACGTCGGTTAACTAAGAAATACACTTGCGCTCCCCGGGGCGGTTCAGCGCAAAGAGGAGGCGTGTTTCGGCGCAAACATTCCCTCATGCTATTTTGCTGTTCTATAAAACAATTGCGCCACTGACCAGAAAAAACCTAGTCTAAAGTCAGTGGCGCGTTGCGCGTTGTTCATTATGCTATTTTAAGGGCGCATGCTTGGCCATAATCAATGTAGCGTGTGCACTTTGATTCTCTCATCTAAGCAGCAGTTTTCATTTTTGCAAATCATACATTATTTAGATAGACCACACCTATGAATAATGAAGCTACTTCAGACCAACCCCTTTTAGATTTGCGTCGAGCGCAAGAGGCATTTATCCCGCCGGGAAAATAGCAACAGCGCCGGGATCCGCCCACAAAGTTACTTGCGCTTTGCGCTTTGACACTTGCGTTTCAGATCGTTAAAATAGGGCCCTATAACCGCCTGTGCAATGTTTTTTTTTTTGTTTTTTTTTGTTTTACAAAAATAAAAAATAAAATTTCACAACCATTATAAAGAGTCTGTGCGCTATTAAAAGCATATTAATTCAGGTACGACACCACTGAAGGCCTAGGTGTGAAGTGCACCGCCCGCCACTGGGTTTTTGTGGAAGCCCATCTCAAAAATAAACACACTTTTATTATTTTTTTCAGCAAGATGTTACCTGTTCTTTCTGCCCTCTCTCTCTCTCTCTCTCTCTCTCTCTCTCTCTCTCTCTCTCTCTCTCTCTCTCTCTCTCTCTCTCTCTCTCTCTCTCTCTCTCTCTCTCTCTCTCTTCTCTCTCTCTCTCTCTCTCTCTCTCTCTCTCTCTCTCTCTCTCTCTCTCTCTCAGGTAACTTCCAGCTGTCCCCCACTGTGAATATGCCCCAGGATGACACCGTCATCATTGAAGATGATAGGCCACCTGTTCTTCCTGCCCGCTTGTCTGACCAATCATCATCGAGCTCCCACGAAGACATGGGGTTTGTGACAGAAATGCCAGAATCCTGGCCCAAAGATGTCCAGATACAGGATGAAAGGTAAGCACATCACCTAACACACAATCATCCTGCCAATAATCGGTTTAAGTAAGCAAGCTGCGTATTTAAAAGGTGCACTCTGCAAATATATACACAGATAAAAATATAATGGACGAATAAACAAACAGGAATGTTGAAAATTTTGAAATGATGTCCATTTACATGAGATGGAGTCATACCTCTTGTTTCCACCACAGAATAAAACATTTTGAAAGATAATTTCTGAGAATTGTGAGATAAAAACTAGCAATTGCTAGTTATAAAGTCCAATACTGTGGAAAAAAAAGACTGGCCTTTTTTATATCTCACAATTCTGACTTTATAACACACAATTGTGAGATAAAAAGTTGCAATTACAAGCTTCCATATATATATATATATCAAATTAAAGTTTCCTATTAAACGTGTTTTTAGTTTACATGCTATGTTGAGATCACATGACTAGCTTTATAGATCCATAACACCTTTGTTTTTGGATATTTATGATTTTTGTTCTGGCATGTAGGAATAATCAACAGAAATAACCATATTTGAATTATATATAAATTCGATTTTTATTAGAGTACTAAATTAAATTCTACATTATAAAATCACTAATGTGAAATACAAAATAAACAAACTAATACAAAATAAGGAAAGGTTGATATTTCTATATAGCTCTAGAAAATTAGAAAATGATGTAGTAATAGTTATGGGTTATAACTATAGTAATAGTTATAATAGTTAATAACATTTTATTTTAAGGTGACGTAGTTAAACGTTAATACAAGAACTTATAGTTATAGTAACAGTAAATTATACATAATTACAAGTAACTAACCCTAAACCAAACCCTAACCATAACTTTATAGTAAGTACATGTAGTTAATTAATATTACTCAGTTCTTATTTGAGTACAATGAAACTGTCACCTTGAAATAAGGCAAACCTAATTATGTTTTATTTAGTTTTATTCTTACTCATTTGTGTTAGTGTATGTGTGCTTAAAATGGTTTTGATCAGTGTTTGGTGTTTTAGGCTACACGCACGTTTATGATTTAAGATGCTGACATGATTTTACTGCCTTTATAGATCAGCCGGAGAATCACAGCAAACCTTTTTGACTTTTCATGTTTTGTTAGATGCCATCTAGTCACAATTCGGCATATTTAGTGGCGATCTTTAATCACTACAGACCCGGGATCAGCTCTTACCTGATTTTAAAACCTAAAAACCTAAACTGTATCTTTCAAGCACAGAAAGCAAGTGGCGAGTCATACTTATATGCATTATTAAAATGTAGTCTTTGCCATTGTGTGGTTGATGGAGCGCATTGATTGACCCAGCTAATGTTTTCTGATATCCAGTCTGTCAGAAAGCCCAAATCACAGCCCATCATGTTTGCACACATCGCTGCAGTGCGAGAGCTGATGAATAAATCACTTCGGTGTAATGGTGGTGTGTGTTTGCGACAGCTGTCCCGTCCCAGCAGGGAGAACACACACTGCTCTCCAGGTCTCGTGTTGTGACTTAAGTTTAATCTTTGAGGCTCAAAAGTGGAGATATTGTGGCGCTGTCCCGGTCTTGTATTTGTGTGTTTAATAATGCATATGATCTGTGCGGTTTAGCAGAAACTGTCTTACTGTTAGACATTTAGGCAACTCTTTACCATGCTTTTACTATAGTAAATCTAACTGGCATTTTAGCAAAAGTAAGATAGTAAATGATATTTTAGGGCATTGAAGAAATCATCTTTTTCATTACAGCTAGTGTGTTTTTTAAACACATATTTGCATGGATCTTCCCAGAGTTTGATTGTTTGGTAACACTTTACTTGAAGGGGTGTGCATAAGACTGACATGACACCTTCATAATCATGACATGACACATATTATGAATATGAAGGAAGTTTTATGCATGTTTGTGACAACTGTCATTAAGTGTCATTCGCTCAATTATCACATTTTTAATGCAAATATGACATTGTTTGAGATGTCTTTGTTATGACACCTTGACATAAACCAATACATCATAACCTGTCAGTGTCTTTGTCATGACAACTTGACATTACTAAGACAGCACAACCTGTCATAAACATGACATAGCAGATTAATTATCGAACTTAAGAAACCACTGAGCTTTATGGGTTAACATTACATTAAACTGTCAGGTAGTTGGTTTTGACATTGGCTGTCATGAAGCCATTATAACTGTTTAATGACAAATTCAATGTGTACCACTGTAGTTGAGGTCACGAAAAATATTCATGACACAGTTATAATGGCCTTATGACAGCCAATGTCAAAACCAACCACATGACAGTTTAATTTAATTTAATGTCAAGTTGTCATGACAAAGACACTGACAGGTTATGATGTATTGGTTTATGTCAAGGTGTCATAACAAAGACATCTTAAACAATGTCATATTTTCATTCAAATATCATTATTGAGCGAAAGACACTTAATGACAGTTGTCATAAACATGCATAAACCCTCCTTCATATTCATAACATGTGTCATGTCATGGTTATGAAGGTGTCATGTCAGTCTTATGCACACCCCTTCAAGTAAAGTGTTACCGATTACTGTACCCGGTCTGACTACACATAACAGTTAAAGTGGAGTTAAAGATGTTTCAGTATGACAGCTAGTCAGCAATTTTTTTCCTGTAAGCAAATGGATTGTATTAAACCCATTTTAATATGAAAAATGGATTAGTTTAAATTAGAAAGACTCTTGACCTAATGTTGACCTAATTACTGAAGCTCATTCTAGCTTTGTGAAGTGTTATTTGATTTATATATATATTAATTTAGCTTTTTGCTTTTGTCGTTTTTATTAGTTTTTGTTTTTAATGTTTCTCTTTCTCACTTTATTTGTTTTTATTTCCATGGTAATAATTGAAGTACTTCATCATAATTTCAGTTTTTTAGCTTATTCCAGTTTTGGTTGATTTCTATTTTGTGTTTACTTCTGACATTTTGAAATTATTTCTTATAGTTTGTTTTAGTTAATATAAATAATCAATTAAACTGAGTATCTATTGTTTACTGATATTGCAAATCAAATGTATAATGAAGTTATTTAAACCATAATAATAATAATAAGGCTGTGTGTGTGTGTGTGTGTAGACAGGAATGAGGTATGACCTGCTCATGTCATGCATGGTTCGTTCAGATGCTGCCGCTTCCCTCCACGTGTGTGTGTGTGTGTGTGTGTGAGTGTGTGTGTGTGTGTGTGTGTGTGTGTGTAGGCTGCCACTTCACTCCACCTGTGTGTGAATGTGTTATTGGCCATCATGGGAACCATTTAGCTGTTTGGTACAGTACATTTAGCCCTGAATCCAGTTGTTTATTTCTTAAGAAAGTCCAGTGTGGTGTGTGTGTGTGTGTGTGTGTGTGTGTGTGTGTGTGTACACGTTAGGCCCAGTTCACGCTCCTCGGGCTAAAAGAGGTTCCTAAAGCAAGTGACTTGAGCAATTCATTTCTGTCCACTTTCAATCTCTCGCTCTCAGTCCCATGAGAAACCTGAACACTTTCCTACAAACCCTTTCAGTCTCTCTCTCTCTCTCTCTCTCTCTCTCTCTCTCTCTCTCTCTCTCTCTCTCTCTCTCTCTCTCTCTCTCTCTCTCTCTCTCTCTCTCTCTCTCTCTCTCTCTCTCTCTCGTAATAAATTATTTGACTCACTGTATGTTGCGTGTGTGTTATGTTTGTGAAAGTTGTGTAATTTTGTCAGCATGGATTAAGGCCATGGCATTGCTGTCATTCTCTCTCACACACACACACACACACACACGCACACACACACACACACACACACACAAACACAGACACAGACACGTATACAAACACACACACACACACACACACACGTATACAAACACACACACACACACACACACACACACACGTATACAAACACACACACACACACACTCTCACACACACACACACACACACACACACACACACACACACACACACACACGCTCTCACACACACACACACACACACACACACGCACACACACACACACACACACACACTCAAACACTTGGCAGAAGTGTGTAGTGCAGCACTGCCTCGGGTTAGTCTGAATTATTCATGTCTAAGGGGTCTTATAAGAACACCACTCTCTCTTCTCTCTCTGTTTTATTCTCTCATGCAGATTTATGACTAAATTAATTTAGCAGAAGACACATATGTGTATCTCTCACTGATTAATGTCCTCGGCCATACACTCATACAGTACACGTGTGTATCCAAACATTGTGTCAGTTACTCATCCACTGGAGGGAGCTACCACAGGAACCTCACATTATTAGACAGACCACACACACACACACACACACACACACACACACACACAGACCGAGTGCAGGATAGCATACTAACATACTACACTCTTAAAAATAAAGGTTACAAAAGGGGATTTTTTAGAAACGTTTTTGTTTCCCCAAAGGACCTTTCAGTGAGTGGTCCTTAAAAGATGAAAAATGAACATTTTAATAATCTAAAGAACCTTATTATTCCTTTTGTGCAATGGAAAGGTTCTTCACATTTTTATACAGCATAAGTATACTTTGGGCTTTAAAGGTTCTATATATGAAGCATCTGCAAAACCCTTGAATGTTCTATACAGAACCTTTTCTTCTAAGAGTCTCTATATATATATATATATAAACAGTGCATCAATAGTCCGACTTGTTTCTTTCTTCCTGTGGTGAAGGATGGCCTCTCGCAGGGGTTGTATGCGCGCGCACAGAAGCGTATCTCTCTAAAACACATTAGTAGGGCTACTCTCAAGACAAATGGCTCTTTAGCAGGGCCAAACCATAAACATTAATAAACTGACCTAGTTATTGCAAAACCAGAAGCAGCCATTCGAGTGAGCGTGCATGTGTGTATCCAGTGCCGAAGTGTGATAATGATCTTTGAATAAAGTATAATGTTTGCTTGAGGTGTGTTAGTGGATGCATGTTTGCCAGAGCAATACGTCACGTGAGGACGTCCACTACAG